TGTGCCCTGCAGTTTGATGACTTCTTCGCATTCGCCACATCAACCAACCTCCATGGGAATTTCCTCAAACTGCGGGAAACCTTATTCCATCTAGATGTCCGCAGACATTCGTTTTCACAGCAAGTCAACAGTGCCTGGAACGGACTGCCGGCGGAGGTCGTAATGGTGAACACGACAGAGGCATACTTACTCAATAGATACCGCTCATACGCGCAGGAAAGCATTGCTAGTAGAGACGAACGCTTTGCTCCTACACACAGATAACAAAATTTTAAATGCGCATATGTTACTCGCTATTTTATAGTAACATTTTATGTTGGATATTTTATGTAAACTGTTTTCAGTAGGGTCTGCAAGGGCATTGCCTACTAACCTAAATATAGTGAACTATACTGAACTACTCGATGAAAGCACAAACGATGGACGTTGACAAATACAGAAACAGCTACTTACCTGGAACCAATCAATGGTGCAGCAGTTAACCAGCGAAGGGAACATCCTCAGACGAACTCGGAAGGCGCCACCAATCGGGCTGAAGGCCAGCACGACGTGCAGTTGTTCGCGAGTGCGCTGAATAAAGAGATTGAAGAGTGCCACCGGGGAGCCGTCTGTCTGTTTGCTTCTGTCACGCTGTCTGTCAATAGCCCTCATCTTCTCGCAAATGTCCTGTTTCTCATCAGCCGGGAACAGATTTGGCACCTCGCCGGCGTTCAGCAGATTGTTCAGGTCCTCGACGAAACTCTCCTGTTTCACTTGCGTGTCAGTGAACAGGAAGACGCCGTGGTTATCCGACTCGGCCACTTTGCGCAAAATACGCTTCAAGTCTTCCTTCCATTCGTTGACACCATAGGTCTTTGCGAGCTCAACCTAAGCGCACAAGAGATAAAAAGGTTAACTGATGCAACAGTAGTAAATCGTGCGAAATCGTCAAAAGACCGGATTCGTTTTAAACCCACCTGGAATAGGTCATAGTCACTAATATGAGTGGCCAGACGCGTCAGTGACTGTCGTCCTGAACCGCCAACACCAACTAGGAGGGCGTGGGATTGAGGGGTCTTCAGAATTCGAGCTATGCGGCAGACATGCTCGATGGCGAATCGGAAGAGCACCAGGTTCATCGGCTTCTTACTCATTGAGTTGAACTCATCGAGGAAGCCCTCGACAACCTTGCCAAGTGCCTCAACGCTGTGTACTTCTATGTAGAAGCGGTTACCTTTTGGTTCCACAAAGTCACAGAACATGAGCGAACGAAGGTCATCTTCCGTAACCTGAAGAAGTCAAATTTTACAGATGATTCCAAATTCTAGACACTGTTACTAATCTCGCAAGAGCGCTAGCGGCTCATTTAGGACAGATTGCTTATTGGGGGATTTTAGTCTGGTAGACTGCATTTAGCAGTCACGTAAGGTAACCTGTGTGAGCAAATAAAAACTATGCCTACTGAAATGTACTTAGTAGGCATCTAAGTATTTTGTAAAACACATTCACTGCCGCCGTAACAAACTTCACGCTGGTGGCAAGTGAGAACTAGACGCACAGCATGAGAACCCTTCTAACTCACAGGTTGGCCTTCTTGTGCAAGATGTCCGCAAAGTGTGTTCATGTCGATGTCTAGATGCGCTTCCAGGACCTTCTTCGTGTTTTCAAAGAACCAGTTTCGATCTGCGTCATCGATGAGTCGATCGTAGTAAACGCGGAAGAGCTCGTGCAGCCACATCCTTTTCAGGGCTATCGGGGCGCCGGTAGATTCCATCCGGCTTAGAAGGAGACCTTGAATCACACGACTAAAGTCACGCAAGTTGAAGAGGTAATGAGACTTTTCGGGAGTTGGTAGCAGGTTGAGCATCGCGTCCTTGTATACCGTTAGTGTAGCCTCCACTAATTTAGCAGATTGTGGTTTGAATTCAGGGGTGAATGCGCTGCAAAAAATTAATAAGACGGAAACTGTAAAAAATAATTCTTTTGAGAATATTTATCACAATATGTTTCAGGATTAACTGGTGGAGAGTTGGTTTACAGAGCGGGTCCGGAAGTAGACCGTAAATTTGCTCCTACGAAGCGAAACCGAGTGGTCAAACTGCTGATCGCGTGTTGATAGTGGGGATCCCGGCAACAGCTGTTCATTTTGAGGGCTCTGTCTAGGTTGACAGTACAGGGTCAGAGTCGAATGCAACTTTTTAAATGATAGTCATATCCCCTCTTATCGGTTGCAGGGATACAGTTTTAGAATGGCGGCGAGTACATGAAGGCTACACGACTGTAATAATTGGTAACAGTATACGTGGGGCGACTGTACCAGTAGCAAGAAAGTCCGGCACAGAGTATCTTGTTGATTTGGATTGAGTTGGTTTCCATTTCGCTACTTCTACCACAGGCTGCAGGGGCGCCTGCGACAGTGAGCC